CAGTATCGAGGGAAAGAAGAGACAGCAGCAGGGACTTCAGCATCCCACATTGAAGATAGGGTCCACTACAATCCTACCTTTCTGAAGGAAACAAGGCCATAGCTAGTATTAGGGTCTGGGCCAGCAGGGGCACGTGAGGGAGGCCAGCAGCCAAGACCATCTAGATCCAGGCACAGAACTCCACCAAAACCCTTGACTGCACAGTCACATAAACAGTCCCCTGGTTACACAAAATGCACTGAAGCTGTTGGACAACACTTCACATCAAAACCTGCCCCTTTCTCCTCATTCCAGGCATACCTCTGCTCTATACAAAGATACAGCAGTAAGAAAGCCTCTTGACACCACCCTCACTCACCCCAAGTAGTCAGCACAAAGGAAGCATTCCCTTCCCAGCCTGGAGGTAAGGTGAGCTGCAGGCCTTCTCGGCTACAAGCCAGCAGGGTAGGATCAGAAAAAACACTACCCTGAGCCTCCACAACCAAAACAAGACCACCAAGAAACCCCCAGAAGAGCATGGCTCCAAATGCATTCCTAGACTGCCCTACAACACCCATCCTGCTCCCTTGCTAAGGACCATAGAACAGCAGCTCTTAGCCTAGCCCTTTTAAACTGTGGAGCCAGCTGGGATCAGAAATTCCTGATGTGTCCAGGTGAACCCAGCCCAGCAGTTTAACACCTTCCATTGCCCACACCTGGCTCTGAACCCATCGCAGACTGCACGCACCATTTGCAGAAAACCACAGGGCAGGAGCTGAGCTTATGTCAAGATGGGTCTGTATTCATATCACTAAGCTGAGAGGAGCTCATCTGTGCAATTTACTGTAGAGCCCTAGGAGGGTCTTCAAACCCTTTTTTCTCACCCTGTGTTCTTCCCACTGCTGGCCCATCCAGGAGATCTGCCTGCTTTTCCCCATGTACCCTACTGCTGCAGTAATTGCTCAATATATGGCATGAGTGCAAGAAGCTGAGTGATGATGCTCTTTTGCTCTTTTAAAGGTGCCACTGCTTCAAATGCCAGACACAGGGTGCTGACGTACAAGCACAGAAATAGCCCTCCACATGAAATCTGTGCAAAACTATGGCGCTCAGGAGGCTTTGCACACCTAAAAGAGGATAGTTCCCCTTAAACACTCCTGGCTGTGGACTACAGCCCCGTTTGCGGTGTGGTTGTGTGGGAATAGCTGCAGGACTGTTCCAGGCCTGGCTGCCAGGTGGCAGGACCATATGCTCTGTGGGACCCCCACCCCCAAAAGCTCATGGGTGGGCCCCTAAGATGGGCCTGAAACACAAGTAAAGGGAGCCTCTGTGATCCCGGAGAAAGCTCTGCCTGCCAGCACCCGTTGCCTGCCTGTAACTGCAACATGTCTCATGTGGAGCCTACTCCCTGCTCACACATCAGGCTGCAACACCTACACTGAATAAAAGTCGTGTTGTCCATCTTACCATACAGATGTTTCTGCATTCATGCAATGGAGGTGTGAATGTCTTCACACTGTTGCAGAAGGGATGCACACGTAGTTTGTGCATGCCTTTTTGCACCCTACTTTTTCCTTCCCTACTTTTTGCTGTGGGAGCACTGGCATAGCCTGTGCCATCATGTTCTTTTGTAATGTGCTTATTTGCTTGGGACTGGATCATCACACACATTCCAGCATGGTGTGGGGGTTAGATGAGCAGGGTTTCTGATCTTGACCCTTAATTATGCACTTCCATTGGTAGTCACCCACACTTTTGCTCTCAGCAGAGCCTTCAGATCCCAGATTTCTGCAGCAGGCAGCATGCTCGCCCCTCCAGCCAGCCCTCATCAACAGGCATGGGGAGTAGCCGGGGAGATGTTTCCTCTGCTCTTCCACCTTAGCCCACAGCCCGTCTTTCCTCTACAGCTGTACAGGGTGCCATGATCCCAGCCGTCCAGCTGGGTGAAGAACATCACTGCACCTTCCCTGCACACCGCTTATTTCATGCACCAACCAGGAGGGCTGTTCTGCAAAGTGCAAGACCTTTTCAGCTGCTCTGCACAGCAGGGACTGAGGCAAATGGGTCTGGACAGGCTGCCTGCATGGCCGCTGTTTGAGCAGCGTTCGTGAACCAAATGTGCTGGTCCCAGCGCCTGCCTGGGCACTGGGCAGCCACGGTGGAGGGGCACCTGGGGAAAACATTTGGACTTTGGCAGGGAGGGAGGCTTCACCTCTGTAGAAGCTGAGCGTTGTGCCAAGACAGCTTGCCCAAATCTCATGGCCAGTGTGTGGCTGCTGAATGTGTCATTTGACTGCATTACCTCCTGATAATTGGGTAAACAATAACAAATAAACAAAGTACTTTGGAGCTATAGATAGTATTCATTACACTTTAACCCACCAATGCTTTAATTATGCTGACAGGAAAAATGTCTACATGTACTTGAAGAATAACTGTATGTGAAACAATACCCGGAGTGCTGTAGAGCCACCGGGCAATACCTGTGCTGAGCACAGTTTCAGGTAAGCGCCCTTTCCTAATTTCTGCACACGCACTTGAGAGCCATTCTGGATGATGCAGAGATGGGAGGCAAGTGAAATAAGCCTGGAAATCATGGAAAGGAGATGCTTTGGAAGAAGTTGCTATAGGCAGTGGCAAGCAGCCTGGCTGAGAGGAAACAGGCCTCTCTTCCTCACAGATCTCCTCATCCATCCAATAGTTCTCCTGCATCACAGTGACCCAGCTGTAAGCACCAATTCAGCTAGCAGACAGGACCACCACAGACAGGACATGCAGAGGATGAAGGTAGGTGAGGCAATTGTTTCTGTAGGCCACTAGCCTGAAGCTGATCGTGACCCCAGCAAGCTAAAATCTTCCTGGGATGCCCATCAGGAAAAATCCTCTCCACCTAACCATTTTGAGCCTGAGAGACTGGGGCAGACTAGCGGCAGTGTAGGAGTTGCCCTGGCTTTTCTTGGAGTTGCCAGAAAGTTTTCTAGAGACCTGTGGGAAGAAAAGGAGGTTTTAAATGCCGCCACCCAGAAGTGCCAGGAAGAGGAGTACAAAATGCCCTGCGCATTGCGGGACTGCCTCCGACGAGACCGCTGCGTGTCTGGCCTGTACCTGCACCGTAAGTGGTACAAATGGCGGCGCAGGAGGAGCTGAGCAGCATTTTCAGGCAGCAGGGATATGTGCACCAAGCATCCCGGGGATGGGGGGTGCTGGCTGCACAGCGGGCAGGAGTGGCATTTCGCACTGCCACCCTCTGAACCGAGGTCCTGAACTTCTCTTTTTGAGAAGGCACAGGCAGCAAGCCTGCGGGAGATTCTACACAACGATGGCAGATTTTCTTCAAGCATGTGCTTTATTTTAGAAAAAAAAGAGTCAAAGCTACAACACTGGTAGCCTTTTCTTTGAATATCCTTAGTAAGTGCCTCCAATGAACTTAAAACTAAAGTTCCCAGGGAAGATGGAGAGGAGGGGATTTCAGCCTGGCCTTCCTGGACTTTCACGTGAATGGAGAAGACAGATTCTTAGCACCTGCAAACAGAAGCAAGTACTCAGAAAACCCTTGGACATTACTGTGACATGAAAAGGCCCACGGTTTCCCACAGGGAAAGGTCTGAGTGACTGGTCTTAAGCGTTTTCCTCCCTTGTAAATCCCCAGTGTATCTGCCAGGGTGGTGGAATATTTGGAATATAACGATTTTATCCTGATAAAAATGAGAAATCTCAAACATATTCCTAGTTCCAGGACTTTTGCGCAAAGTGTTTTCCAAACCATGAGGCAGAGCTGAGAAATGAGCCCTTGTCCTCAGGAATGAGGGAACTTTACAGGGAAGGTGGTAAGGTCATGGATGTTGGCAGCAGAGAGACCTCAGGTAGCAGTACAAACTCCCATGAATGCCACTTTCACTGGGTGGGAGTACCTAGAGCTACATGAACTTCCATGAACTGCCCTGGCAACATCTGAGCTGATGCAGGAGTTTAGGGCAGTAGGTCAGCAACTAGCCCAAACTTGTTGGCAATTCAGTTTTTCCATCAAAGTATCAAGTTGCCCTGGTTTTGGCTGGGATAGAGTTAATTTTCTTCCTGCTTGTTTATTGTGATGCCTGGAGACCTTTCTGCCCTTGCTAGACAGGTTTTTTATACTTTCCTCTCTTGTGAGGCCAGACAGCCCTAGGGAGAGAGACTGAGGCACCTGCTGTGCACTGAGGAGAACACGTTGGGATGTTCTTTGGCACATCACATGCAGTGTGAACTCCACTGATAATGCCAGGAGGACTTCAGGAGCAAGCAAGGATGGCTCACCCCATTGAGAGCTTGTACAATCAATACCAAAGAACAGAAAATCCAAATGGCACTGAAGTACTTGGAAGATGCTCTCCTGACTGAATTTCTGGAAGCACCTCAGTAGAAGAGGGAGCTCCTAGTGTGATCTCTTTAACAATGAACTTTAGGTGAAACAAAACAAGTTTTATGAGCATATTATAAATTTCTTAACCTCTCTTGGCCTCTGCAATTGTTTGAGATAAGGCGTATCTTCAATGCCCAATTAACACTGAGAGAAATCCTAGTTTCGTAACACAGGGCGGTCTAACAAATGATTGACTAGTAACATTGACTAACTCAACCACGTGATCTAAAACCCGCTGCTGAGCTAACATAGCCCTGCAGTATATAAACTCAGGCTCCAGCAGCCAGAGTCACTCCCTCCTGAGCTGCAGAAGCAAATGGACCTCCTGGGAGCAGCCCCTGTTGTCGTCCTGGTTTGCATTGCTTGCCTGCTCTCCTTCGCAGCATGGAGAGGGAGGTCTGGAAAGGGGAAGATGCCTCCAGGACCGTCTCCTCTTCCCATCCTAGGTAATGTGCTGCAAGTGAAACCAAAGAACTTGGCCAAAACCCTCCAGAAGGTAAGGTCACTTTCTTCTTCTCTCTTACTTTCTTCTGTGGGCGAGAAATGTGTGGGACTTGTGCATGGGGACAACCTGTGGCCATAGCTTGATGAGTGGCCATCTCAGAGGAGCAGAAAGTTCATGGGCATCTCAGCTGCTCCCCCTCACTGCTGTTGGCATTTTTGTTCAGGGCCTGATAGCTGGGAACCCTCTACACACCCACGTTTATCACGAGAGGACCAGGTTGATGATGCTGGTCTGTGAGGCTGCACTGCCTGCAGTGGGATGCAGCAACAACACCACTTTTCAACTCCTCCTCCCTATCTGCTCCATGGCCATGTTCTCTCTTGCATTTTGACAGCTTAGTGAAGAGTATGGACCCGTGTTCACAGTGCACCTGGGCTCTGACCCAGTGGTGGTGCTGCATGGACATGATGTGGTGAAAGAAGCCTTGGTTGATCGCGCAGACGAGTTTGCTGCCAGAGGACGCATGCCAATAGGAGACAGGGCTAACAACGGATTTGGTATGTTTGCTGACTGCTGAAGAGAAGGGCAGGACTGAGGGCGTGTTTGGCAGATTAGAGCTGGAGTGTACGATGCACGAGGGAAGGCTGCGGGGAGTGGGTGGGTCCCACCTGGAGAAGGGATGGTGGAGTGGGCTGTAATTCCTGGTTTCCACCACCCAAAGAGGGTAGCAGAGAAATGGAGCCTGACTGATCTGAGCAATGAGCAGTGAAAGGGCAAGTGGCAACTGCCACCAGCTGCAGCAAGGGAAATTATGTGTGGATGTGAGTGATGAACTGTGCACAACGAGGTTGGGTATGTGGTGGAGAAGGCCAAAAGCAGGCAGTTGGATTACAGGACCTCCATGGCCTGCAAACCACAGTACTCTATGACACTACCATATCAGTGGTCTCCCAGGGATAGGATTCACTGTTACTGTGAGCTTCTGTTCATCTCACACTCAGCTTGCCCAACCCTGGTCTTCCCTCCTCCTTCTTCCTCTGCAGGGATTATTTTTAGCAATAACGAGGAGTGGTTACAAGTCCGGCGGTTTGCTCTCAGCACTCTGCGCAACTTTGGAATGGGGAAGAGGAGTGTTGAAGAGAGGATCCAGGAGGAAACTGAGTACTTGCTGGAAGAGATCAACAAAACAAAGGGTATGGTCCATTTTTAATATAGCTTATGTTTGCAAAAAAGGGACTGTATTAAGGGAGCCCATGTCTTTAGCATAGAATTGAAGTTCCCATGCGTTTGTTCCATGCACCGGCTACCCCTCATTACAAAGCAGTAAATAATTCTGTGATCATGTACTGTTCTTTTTGGAGGACGCTTCTGTGTCACTTAGAGATTGTGATCTGATATTTCCACTAACAACCAGAGCTCAGGTTACTCACAGCAGCCATAAGTAGCCATAGTTTTGGGGTTTTTTTTTTAACTTTTAACTTTTCTGAAATTACAGAAGCACCTTTTGACCCAACCTTCATGCTGAGCTGTGCTGTTTCCAATGTCATATGCTCCATCGTCTTTGGGAAACGATATGACTATAAAGACAAGAAGTTCCTGGCCCTGATGAACAACATGAACAACATCTTTGAGATGATGAACTCCCACTGGGGACAGGTACATTCCATAGCCATTTCACAGTGGCAACGTTCTCCCAGGGGAGCAGGAGGCCTCCCTCCCAGTGAAGTCCCATTTCAGTCTGCTAACTAGGACCCCATCAATGCTCTGCTGCACAGGAGGGAATTCATTCAAGAGCAAGAAGCACGCTCACCTATGGACTTGGCTTTGCCAGCTAAGTGCAGCTTCCCCCTAGTCCTGAACACACCACTTCTCGACCTCTAAGGTTCCACTACTACTAAGCAAGCCCCTACTGCCCTGTCAGACTGCCCAGCCTGACAGCCCTTCTGCTTGGCTCAGTTGAGAGCGTTGTGGCCTTCCTAGGCTTTTCACTAATATCAAAGGATGGGGCAATGGTCATGCTAGGGACCTTCCTGCTTCTTTCCTTCCAGCTCTACCAGATGTTCTCAAAGATCCTGGATTACTTTCCTGGCCCACACAACAGAATATTCACAGAATTTGATGCTCTAAAAGCCTTTGTGTCAGAGGAGGTGAAGATGCATCAAGCCTCCCTAGATCCCAGCTCCCCTCAGGATTTCATCGACTGCTTCCTCAGCAAAATGCAGGAGGTAAGGAGACAGCATACAGCCCCAACTCATCCCCAAACACACCCACACTGAGCCCTTTCCCTCTCCTAAGTAACAACACAGACATTGGGATGATCCCTTCCCAGGCAGCTGGGCTGCGCAGCGTGAAGACACCAACAATACCCCAGATATTGCCTGTGCTAGAGCTGATAGCTCTGGGTCTGCACACCCACCAGCCACTACCTGCAGCTGCTTGGACAGCAAGACCTTCATCTGCTCTCGTCGAAACACAGGGACTTTTGCAGTCTGGTCTTGCAGTTCTTTCACTGGAAAGCAGTTGGCACAGCAAGGGCAAACAGGCAGCTACGTACCATTTGTTACACAGCTTGAAAGAAGGTTGCTCTGGGGTTGAGCTTACTGCACAAAGATAGCATTGCAATGTCCCAGATGGCTGCTGCACCTTAGCAGAGAAATGCAATAGCTCTAGGTGAAAACAAAGGCCTGGGATGACACAAGAAAGGTCCACTTTTCTTAGCTCAGCCAGAGAAACAGCCCAGCCTTTTCCCTAGGAGAAAGAGCATCCCAATTCCAGTTTCCACATGAAGAACCTGATAACCAGCACCTTCGACCTGTTCATTGCTGGAACTGAGACAACTAGCACCACCGTAAGATATGGGCTTCTGCTTCTTCTCAAATACCCAAAGATACAAGGTACCAGTCTGTGACCTCTTCCTCTCTAGCTGTTCCCCTGGGTTGGGCGCGTGTCTAACACCACATCCTTCTCCCAACTTTTCTCCTCTCTCTTTCATAGTTTATCTAAATGGGCAAAGTCCTTGCACTGTCATTCCCCTGGCTTGCCATTAGAGAACCCTCAGCTTCACTGGCATCAGCAGCAGCTGCACTCCTCTCACAGCCAGGGACCTGACTGTGTCCACATCTTTATCTTCCAGTACTCCTATTTAGCCAAGTCACTAGGAGGACATACTTTGCGTGGGCCACAGCGGAGCTGCGTTCTAGTCAACACCAAAGCCAACATCAATGCTCCTGTGATCTGTGGACAGCTTAGGGAAACCTGTTTAGGTAGGTTTTGTTTAGCCATTTTATGGTTTGTGTCTCTCATGACAGAGAAAGTTCAAGAAGAGATCGACCAGGTAGTAGGCCGATCACGAAGACCTTGCGTGGCTGACCGGACCCGGATGCCCTACACAGATGCAGTGGTCCATGAAATTCAGCGCTTCATCTCCCTTGTCCCCCTGAGTGTCCCTCACACTGTGACCAAAGACACCCACTTCAGAGAGTACATCATTCCCAAGGTTAGTGTGCAAGCTCTCAAGTTCAACAACAAGGTGGCAGTATGTTTGCTCTTAGGCTGTCAGTTACAAGCCAGAAGCTAGAAATGCTGTGGCCTGACCTCATTGTCACCCAGCCCTTCATGAAGGTTTTATCCTCAGGCTCCTGCAGCTCTCTTGCAATCCCTTGTTGCCGCTCCATGGGCCAAGATTGGAACAGTAGCTCTGCCCAACACTTTGCTTATGTGCTCTGCCACTTTACCTGTCTGCAGAAACACAATGGGTTCACAAAAAACCAGAACAGTGACTCCTCACGCAGAAGGCAGCAAAGCCATGGAACTGCTCACCACCGTCCAGGAGAGCCTGTGCACATGCTTGGAAGCAAAGTCAGTCGCAGTTATTGAGCACAGAAAGCCCCTGAGCCACAGAGTGCTGGAGGATATGGTTGCATTCAAGGGAACAAGCAAAACCTATTTGCCCTGTTCTTACACACATCTTGAGGCAGTCACTGCTGGCCACTGCCAGAGGCAGGCTGATGGGCTAGAGCAACCCATGGTTGGGCCTGGCCTGCTGCAGCAATGCTCATTGCTCTTCTGGGTGACCATGCATGGCAGGGGAACAGCAGCACACAGGCTGTTGGTGTTTTGATTTTCAGCTGCTTGTGTAAAATCAAAAGGCAGGACCCAGGGAACTGTTCAGCTTCCAGCAGAGGGCTCTTGTGTCATCCCACCCCCCAGTCAATGGCTGGTCTGGAAGAGGATTGTAGCAGGAGAAATTTGTCAGGAGAGGGGAAGAGAACTTCATTTCCACAACCTTGTGTGCTTTTGCTTTTCGGGGCTCACAGAAAAGAAGAAACGTAGTGTATCTACAAGTTCATAACTGTGAAACACTAAGAAAGAGGAAGAATTAGGTGGCGTGTCCCCAGATGACCAGAGCAAGGTGAGGATAAATGGTCTGAGAGTGAGAAGGAGCATTCAGGAAGAGCAGCCAACAACTGTCCTTGCTGTGACATCTAGCAGGGTTTCCCTAAAGCTGCCGCCTCAAAGGAAGGGACCCCAAAGGGATACCAAAGGTATTGATAGGACTGTGCTGGGAAGCTCAGTCTTAACTTGGCAGGCAGTCGGATTAAGTGATCTAACTCACGTCCCCTTCATGTTCTTCTCTTCCCCTTGTGTTACCTCAGGGCACCACAATCTTTCCCAGCCTTGATTCTGTCCTCCATGACAGTAAAGAGTTTCCAAACCCAAATGAGTTCAACCCTGGACATTTCTTGAATGAGAATGGCACCTTTAGGAAGAGTGAGTTCTTCATGCCCTTCTCAGCAGGTAAAGCACTGGCGTTCTCTCTTTTCCTCTCTCTGTCGACCTTGTCCTCTGGGGACCACCCTGCCTTTCCCTATAACACACACTTCCTCTTCCCAACATGGTCCCACTGGTGCTTCCTTGGGGCTCACTGTTCTCTGGATAACTCCTCCCTGCTGCTCCCTTCCCCAGCTGCATCTACCACCTTGTTTGGGCCCGGTGGCTTCTCAGATCACCTACTAGGAGTTGCCGATGTGATGGTGTGAACAGACCCATTGAGGCTTCCCAAAATACCTGTCACCTTCCTATGCAACCACCAAAGTCATCCTTAACCCCCTCATCTTTCTGTGGTAGCTCCATTTTTTCCCCAGCACCCCTTAAGTACCTCTCGGGCTACGTGCAACCTCTCGCCTACCAATAGCCCCCACCCTCCGCTTTCTCTCCCATGCTTTATGTCACCTTGCTCTCTCTCTCATCTTGTCTCCTGTGATGTCCCCTCCATGTTTAAGCTTTCTCCTGCTCCTGTTCTTCCTTCACACACCTAACCAAACTGCCAAGGGTCTTTCTCCAACAAACTCTTCTCTTGCAAATGTCCTTAGTAATCCTGACAGTCATCTCTCTGCTGCAGCTGTATCTGGTAAATAAAGCTGTGCAACCCATCTGCGTAGTACAAGCTCTGGTCTACTCGGCAACACCTGTTGAATGCTATTTGCTGTTTTCACTTGCAGGGAAGCGAATATGCCCTGGAGAGGGCCTGGCACGCATGGAGATATTCTTACTTATCAGCACCCTCTTGCAGAACTTTACCTTGAAGCCTGTCGTTGACCCCCAGGAACTCAGCATAACCCCAACACTGAGCGGGACAGGCAATGTACCTCCTGCCTACGAGCTCTGTGCTCTCCCCCGCTAAAAACCACAAAACCTCTCTCCACAGTGTCCTGAGCCTGGCTACTGCTTTACATCGCCCTTACTAGAACCAATGGCAGGAGCATTGGCCCGCTTTCCCAAGGCTTCCAAGAAGGCAGCCCAAACACAGGTGCATGCACAGAGTAGATGCCTTCCAAAGCCTCCCAGAACTGCTCCACCACATCTCAGGGAGGCCCTAGGTGACATTAGAGCCTCTGGCACAGACGTTCTGTCCACAGGCTCACTGAGCACAGTGGCTGCATCAAACAGCTGACTTTCTCGCCAACACAGCTCCCATGGCTGCCTCCCGCAGCACGCGTCCCACCAACAGCAGGCTTTGCAGATGGATAGCGCTGCATGTGTGTACATTAACAACCCAATAAAGAAAAATCTATTTATGAGGATTTAAGCCATTATTTTCTTTGGGTTGGGGCAGCACCCACGTCTGCTGCTCCACTGCAGAGTAGGTCTGCAGCACCTGTGGCCAGTGCCCTGTGGGAAGGGCTGTCCCCCCACTCATTTCTTGGGCACTCTATGGCCCAGCCTTTCCACAAACTGGGAGCACCTTCTCTATGGCTCCTCTCTGTCCTCCTCCCACCATCTCCCCCAGGCCTTCTGCTCTCCCCAAGGCATTTGCCAGCACAACCTCGCCTGTCACCCTGGACACTTGGCACCCCCACACAAATCAAGATGGGGCTACTGAGGAGATCATTTCTCTGGATGGTGTCTCCTGCCCAAATCACATTGCCACCCCACCTCCCAGATGAAATGCCAAAGTACAGAGGAAAGAACAGCCTGAGTGAGAGCCTGTTGCAGGTAAAGAACAGCTGAGAACTAAGGGAAGTTGCCATCATGAGGGCTAAGTTCTGCAGCTGGTGTTGCATTCTCCTTTTGGTTTTCTTAGGCATACCACTTCATCTCACTTATGGTCTGGACTCGTCCCAAATGAAGAGTGCATCCTTGTCTTTGCAGGCTGTTGCGAGGAGCTCAGGCACCTGAGTGATACGGACTTCAATCAACTCTCTGGATGCTCTTTTCTACCATCAGTATCACTGCAAGGATTTAGATGTTCTTTATTAAAATGAATTAACCTAAATTTAGGAGGACAGCAAAACCATTTCTCCCAGAGGGCTTGGGTACTCCAGGGGAATCTCATTTTGTTTCTGCATCTCAGAGGCATCATTGCAAACAAGTTTTTTCCCCATCCAAAGTCTCTTTGTCCTGTCCTCCATAGAATTTCATGTGTGCATAAAGAGAGAACTCTCTTGTTCGTAAACTGCAACCATGTGACCCCTGGTATCCAGGAAAAGGATTGTGTCTGTTATTTCTGGTCCCAGCCACTATTTGGTCCTTTTCTTTCAGTGACAGGGCGGACGGGTTTCATAAATGGATTCCACCACAGATGGCTCTCTTCTGGGCTTCTTCATCCTCATGGGCTTTGGTTGTATTTGGATCTCTGGTTTGCAGTGTTTGTCTGGATCTTCATTTACATAGATATTTGTTGTCCCATGCATCATGGTCATATAAAAGTCCTAGAAGCAAAATATAATTTCTGTGATGGTTGTCACAAGGTACTCAGAGACCTTGTAAGCACTGCAGAGAACACAGTATGCAAGAATTCCCACCTCTCTTTGGAATGTTTGGCAGTTTTTTGAAGAAAATGTCATATTTGCTCACATCTCAGGTTTATCCCTCCTTCTCCCTCCATTTTTGCCCATGCAGGACACAGCTCTAATGCCTTTGTACAATGGCAAATGACTCCTGGCCTCTCATCTGGACTTGCATCAAATGGACAGACATGCAACCAGAAACAGCAGTCATGTAGGAGCTCCAGGCAAGCATGGGGAGAGAGCTTACCCTGAGCTCTCTGTTAGTCTAGGGCTACCCTTAAAGCCAGTTCTGCATTTAGTAACTCACTCAGCAGCGTGTGTGCTATGTTGAGAATCAGTTAATAGATGACTTACGTCTGGAGGTCTGGGAGGGGACGATTCATATTCATGTTCTTCCTGCACATTGGGATGTTCATTTTTCTGAAGCAATGAACAAAAGAGTGATAAACAACATCGATCCTACAATTCACAAACAACTGCATAAGAAGCACAGGGCAGTAAGAAACTGTTCTCAGGATGTACTCAGGGGATAAATAACCACACAGGGGACAATATCCAGGACAATACCCAACATATTCTAAGCTGGATGCCAAAACCCTCTTTCATTTGGAACACTCATGGAGTCCACTTGATGCCTGCCCATGAGAATGACCTTACAGAGGGGAAACCTCAAACCCTGAGCGTTGCTCTTACTAGAACATCCAAAACTTGTCTGGTCCTTTAACACAGGGGAAAACCCTCACTTCCACACTTGCCTCCCTCAGCTTTCTTTCTGAAGTAAGGAAACATAAAGATCCATGCAAGTACTAGAGCTGCTTAAAAATATCTGTAAAGTGGCAGGGGAAGGAAAAGGCCCTTTTAGGTAGAACTGTCAACGTCTGGCTGTCTTTCCCCATGGCAGGTTGACTGCCTCTTTGGTGGTGCGGGTGCTTTTTCACCTCAGAGGAAGGAAGCATGATGCTACAGAAACTCCTGACTCTACCTCAGCAGTGAGGAGGTAGGCAAGGTGTGAAGACCCACTCACCCCATGGGCTGGAACACGGAAAAAAAGGTGACCAAGCTGTACATACTATGAAACACCCTGGCAGCATTTCTGGAGCTAAGTAACAGCATTTTGGAGTGAGAGGATCCCTAAATGAATGATTTCTTGTGGGAAATGACAGAGAAATCCACTGAAGAACAGTGGTGATAGATTTTTCTTTTAATTTCCTGTTAGTTAATAGATCACTTGGAGGTGCACCTTCAGTACTTTCATATCAATTTCTCTTTTATCCTGGAACCTGCAACTCCTAAGCTGAGGTCCAGCCTTTGAGAGACAGAACAGAGACAGTCTGAGTGCCTAGGGACGTGGCCCCGAACTTCCCAAGAGCTTCAGGAGGTGTTGAATAAGGTTTCTGATGTGGAGGTCTCGGCTGGCAAGGCACCCAGGAGATGGAAGGTAGTCACCTGATTCCAGCTGTACTTCTTCCACTGGAGAACACAGACCACCGCCAAGACGACTGCAAGGACCAAGACCAGGAAGCTGGGTATCCCTGCAGCTACTCCAACCACCCAGGGCTCATACTAACTCACAGAGAAAGAGAGTCAGGTGAAACACATGCAGTGGGATCTTTTAACTCTGTGCTTAGTAGCTGTGCGAGTGGCTACCATACAACAGCAAGAAAAGCCAATGCAAGGAACAAAACTGCAGCCCTGGATCAAAACAGTGGCGTCCAGCCTAGCTGTACTGAGACGGACAGGGGAAGCAGAGATTTGATTTCAGAGAGAAAACGTTCTACACAATCAATCAGATTAAATAATGAAATTAACTCTTACCCCAGGAGAACAATCTGCCGGGACAGGTGTGCTTCCAGATGGATTTGCAGAAGTCTAGAAATAAGATGGCTACAGAACATTTACAAAGAAGTGTTTCATACAAAGCAAGTAAGGAGAAGAGGCGAAGTGAGCCGTTGCAAGACTTCAACAATAGCATGTGGCTGGTAACACACGGAGCACCCAGCTGCACCCTGAGGTCATGGCCTGTACTTGCCAGTCATAAGCAAGAACCTAAAGCCTGGTCCTTCCAACGATGGCTCTGACTGAACGGAAGGAATATGTTTTTCCTCAAAAAGGGGCTTGAGGGTAGAAAAAAGCATACACAAGAGATAAGCACAAATATATGATAGAGAAAGCTGGATTCAGAAGGAAAAGCAGCACAAAGGGGAGTGGGAAGCCCCAAGAAAAGCTGTGCTTTTGCAAGAGTCTGCTCTCTGTCCTTGCCACAACACTAGAGGCAGCTGCCTGCACGGCCTTGCCTGGAGGATCACTCGGTGCCTCGGCTCACAGATGCAAGGCATGCAGTGCAGGGCACGGGCAAACTTGGTGTACCCCAAACCAAAACCACCTGGCTTTTTCTAGCCATTGCAAAACATCACAGCCAGCTCCACATGACAAGGCAGCTCCAGCAAGAAGGAAGTCCATCGCACAGGCAGTGATGCCGGCAGGTGCCTCCCCTTTGCCAGGCTGACCCACCATCTCAAGCGGGCATTGCTCCAGCCGGGAGAGCCACAGGACCCAGCGTCCACCCCAGACAGAGCTCAAGAGCTGTACGTGCCTCCTCAAAGGCCACAGGTCAGCCAGGTCTCCTCTGGCCCCTGCAGCGAACAGATGCTCTCTTGAGTCAAGAGCAACCATGACCAATACTCACATCTACACCCATCTTTCAGTTACTCAGACAGAAAAATTGCCCTTCCCGATTCTAAGGCAGGTTGTGGGTGGACTGATTGTCCTCAATGCCCACAATTCAGCAGAAAAATGCAATTGATCCCTGGCTGGGAAGATGCAAAACCAGAAAGGGTCTGTGTCAGAACAGAGACTGTATTTCACAGTACAGCAAGCAGGAAGGTAGGATTAGAAAGCCCAGATCTTTGCATGCCTACAACTTTTTGTGGGAAGAGAGAGGAACCCCATGTCTTTTAGCAAAGAATTAGCAGCGATGTGTATCTTAACTGAGTGACAGGACACGTAAAGGACCCTCTGGTAACTGCTGTGCTGGCTAACAGCCTGCTCCTTTCTCTACCCCCTGTCTCACCAGGAGAACAGAAATTAAATCTGAAACAACATTCACATTCCCTCTGGATAAAGGAACAGGAAGAAAGTTCAGCTGCATTGCAGGCTTAGCAAACTCACCTCTTGCTGGATTTGTGGCTTTCTAAATAAACAGGAAAACAGGCACAAATGCAGGATTCTGGGTACTCTAAGCGTCTCACCTGCCTTTACTGCTACAATATAGTGTCAGCAGCATTAGGACAGTCTGTCAGAAGATCTGCATCAACGCTCACCCATAAAAGCAGCAATTTGTCTTCCAGAATACCACCGCCCAGCTCCTACAGGTAACATGATGGTGAGTAGTCATTGACCTTCATCCTATGCAGTGTACTTACTGAACTTAGAGTTGTGTTGTGAGATGGTGGGAAAGACTCTGTTGTCTCCTGCAGAGAAATAAAAAAAAAAAAAAAAAAAGAACTGAGTATTAGCAGTTGGGAGATGCCCCT